AAACAAATTGACAGCCGGATCAAACTTCTGGGACGTTAATCTATAAGCAATCATTTCATAGATTTCTGATATATTTCTGTGTTAACCTCAGCAAAAACACAGCAATAATCTATGAAATGATCTTAACTACTTATATTTTAACGCTATAAGGACGCAGAGGAGATGGAAGAGGCTGTGACGATAATAAATGTCTTTTTGAAAAATTCTTGAAACCTTTAGAGTCTACATTGAATATACGCTTTTTTGTCTTCCCCTTTGTTAGGCATTCTTTTAAATATTTTAGTGTGCATGTACAAATATATTTTTGCTGTTATTGTTGTTGTTTTGATTGAGAGAGCAGCATACCCCAAAAAGTGACGCTAGGGTACAAGTATACAATTCCCAATATACTCATCATGACACTCACCCTGATAATGTATACCAGACACATGCAGCATAGCCAAATGTTAGCGATATGGTCATAATTTCTGAAAAAAAAATAGATTAAAATAACAAGGCATAAATTTGCAGGTGTGGGCCTGTTAGAAATAATACCTTTGGGTCGGGTAAACCAGTTTAGATGTTACCCCCAAACAAAACCCCCAATCTCTTTGGCATCCAGGCATTTTGTTCATCTACTATGTTTTTCTCATGAACAGAAGTGCGCATAATGCATCAGTCCCCGGTGAGGTGGGGGAGATACCCAAGTATTTAGAGTCGAAAAGCTGGCAAGCAAATACGGGGGTTGGGTACTGAATGGGGATATTTCCTGTAGCCCAGTTGAATTCACCAAGACAAAACTTGCATATATTCACACCGCTAATTATTTATAAGAGCCATGTCTGGTATAGCATCGAAAAAAAATTAATTAATTAAATAAATAAATTATTATTATTAATAATAATTCATTTATAGCCGTATAGCACAAAAAGACAAATGGATTTGCTTTTGTTAAAACTAGGACTGTAGTAAATATATATGAAACGCAGTATTATCTGCTAGAATAACTTGATCATCATTAACCACCTCCGACAAGAAACCAAGTCTTTTATTAAATGAATCTGACTTTGTCTTGTAAAAGATTATAAGTGTTGGGCATTCGATGAAGATCGAACTCACTACATAGTAATCAAGATCTACTAGTTAAGTTTGTCAAACATTGCTCCATTCGAGACTATTTCTCCCCTTCTCTCTCTCTCACTCATAAACACACACCATTACACATTGGGGCAAAACACACGAGTCGGACCACACACGCACAAAACACCATACAAAATATATCTAGTTACTATATAGATTTCTTTATAATAATATATTATTTAATATATATGTATGGAGAACGAATATATACACACATACTGGCAAAAACAAACATTATATATATATATATATATATATATATAGTGTGTGTGTGTGTGTGTGTGTATTTAGGCAGCAATTTTTCATTGATGCATGTTTCATTAAATAATATAGACAAGTTTTGTCTATTTATTTTAAGTTCCTTACATATTGTCTGATAAGCTTAATAACATTATCCTTGAAAGACGAAAGGAAATCACCATATTGATACATGTTTAAATCCTATCTAAGCTTTCGCCTTACATAAACCATTATCAAAGATGACAATTACATTTCAATATATCAAACAATACACGGACAAAACAATAATGATAGTCTGTTTTTGTTTCGATGATAATGTTATTAAACTTATCAGACAATATGAAAAAACTTACTTAAAATAAATAGACAAAACTTGTCTATAAATATTTAATGAAAACACACACACACACACATATATATATATATATATATATATATATATATATATATATATATATATATATACCCAGGGGGTGTAACAGCAAAATTGTCCAAATCGTGTAACAACATACTTCTCCATCCACAAAATTTTAATATCTAAAAAAAACAAAAAACACTAAACTAATTGAGTTTCTCTTTCCCAGGTGTTTTAAATAAGACGTTTAGCTTATCTTGATACAATTTATCGCAAGAATCACTGAGAAACCCTTCGAGTTATTTAACTAGAAAGAGAACATGTTGAAATCGTTTTGTGTCAGAGCCACTGTTTTCCCAACTAAGCAATAGTGAAAGGAAAAATATCATTCAGGCCTTCAGTAATGGTACCAACATTCATACTCTGGCCTCCATCTTCAAAGTCCATTCAAGAGTCATCAAGGGAATGGGGAATAAACTTTTAAAAGAGGGAACAGTAGAGAGGAAAATTGGGTCAGGAGATCGAAACAGGAAGAGGCTCCATCACTTCAACTTAGAGCTAAATAGATCAATTAGAAAAGATCCAACTCAATCTATAATATGTTTGGCATGTGAGAGAGAAGTTTCAGCTATACCATTCCAAGGAGCAATGAAAAAAGACTTGAAAATGAAAACGTACATTAAACCTATGAGGCACCTTATTACTCCTGGACAAATGTTAGAAGATTAGAGGGGCGAAGATCATCTTAAATAGGCTGGAAAATGATCCTGTAATATATATATATATATATATATATATATATATATATATATATATGTGTGTCTATTTCTTCCCAAAAAGTGATATCTAGAGTTTAAAATGTATTTTAAAAATGAAAAATCTTTCTTAAATCTTTTATCTCAGTTTTAATCGCAAGCTAATAGGTAAAATTTAATATTTCCAAGAAGTAAAATATTTTGCCGTATTTCAAACCGAATTGAAATTAATTAGAATGATTTTTCTCATTATCAGTAAAAATCGATAAAAATCCTCTATATTGTTTACACAATTCTCTTTATTAAAAAAATCTTTCAAAAATAAAATATACTTTTCTGAAACGTAAAATTTAATCAATTTGAATTAAAACAAATATTAATTACTTTTTGCTTAAAATATCATTTTTAACACGCAGTTGGGTGTTTTGTGATGTGTGAACACATTTATTGACACTCCGATATTTAGGAAATTTATTTAAGGAGGAAATAATTGAATTAAAATTATATGACGATTAAAACGAAAACGCCGTTTATATATAACTACACAGTAATCTTTTAAATTTTAACCAATCTAATATTTTATTGAATTTTAGCTACTTTGACTTTATAAACTAACTTACGAAGACGCTTGTCGAGAAAAATTGTCAATAAATTTAAAAAAAAAAACATTTTCGGGTAATGTCGTATATGGACGTCCGTATTTACAAAAATTAGCACGTTTATTCTCTCTCTACTCTCTCTCTCTCACTCACACACACACTTCAATATTATTTTAAAATACTGTACCCTTTCCATTTATTAGTAGTAAATTTAGTTTTTATTTAATAAAAATATAACTTGACCGGTACAAATTAAGACGAAATTTTTAAATATTTAAAACTTGATAAATTATTCTAATTAAATTTTTAAAAAATTAAAACAGTTCTTGTAAGAATTCATTATTCATCGAAAAAATATTTTTTATTGTTTTTTTTTTTCGTGCATAATAAATTTTATGGATAAAAACAATAAAACTTTTCTAATTAAATAATTTCTTAGTTCTATAGAATTTTTTTATTTGACGATTCAGAACAGATTTTCTGTAATTGAGTATTGTGTTTGATAAAGAAAAAATGATTTAAATTCTCCGAGAACTTGTTCTTATGACTAATATAAATATAAGCACTACTAAAAAGAATTTCTAAAAATTTCATAAATTAGTTTCCAGTAACAGATGTAAAAAAATATTTTTACCAAAATTTTCTAAAAAAGAAGTTTTAAAATCAATTTAAGTCATTTGTGAATAAGTCCTGAAAATTTCATTAAAATGCGACAATTATCACATTTTTACAATAATTTCCAAATCTTTTTCCTCACCGCAGAAAGACGTGCAATATTTTGCCATAATTTATGGTCCGACGTTGACGTCAGAGAAACAAGATTTTTATGGTCCGACGTTGACGTCAGAAAAAAAACAAGATTTTTAACCAAAATTTCGAATGTTCTAAAAAGGATTTAAAAAAAAATTATATCAAAAATCCTTTAATCTTTCTTGTTAATAATAACAAAGATTTCGACGATAAAACATTTTTATTACATTTTTGGCATATTTCCATCATAAACTTATTTTTAGCGAATCTTTGAAGGTGCCCAAACCTCACTTCCGAGTCTCGATAGAGTCCAAAAGCGTCTTCGATTCTTGTGGGTGACAAATTATTTTCTACCCTCCAACCACACAGGGTGTGGTAAACCTCTCCTTGGTCTATCGTTACTTATGTGGAAAGTGCTAAGATGAACTACATTTCTTGATCCTGCCTTCACGGCTCGAACTGGCCATACCACTTACATAGTAACAAACCACCTTCATTCCCCCCACCACCGTATTCTATTAATGAGAAGTAACTTCCACTAGAATAGCTTCTTACACTGTTATGTGAAACCGACTCCCGAGAGGATGTTTCCCCGATCACTACAATCTTAACCTGTTCAAGTCTAGGGTTGACTGTTATCCCCTTCGTATCTGCATAAACTGCCTCTTACTATGTAACCCTCTACCTCGGATGGCCCCGGGGCTTATACAGGGTGAACCTCACTGTAAATAAGGGTATATATAACGAGGCAGATCGAAAGAGAAAAGGCGAGTGAGAGAAGGGCAAAAATGTGTACGATAGAAAGTGAGACAGACTGTCAGGGACAGATATAAATTGGGAGAGAGAGAGAGAGAGAGAAGGAGAGCTGAAGGAGTGGTTATGCTCCTACCCGACCCCCAATCTTAAATCCAAATCCCCACCCACCCATCCGTTTAATAGATTTCAAGAGGTTTGTTTATTAGTTTCTCTTTTTCTTTTGTCAACCGTTTTTATCTTTTTTTACATTTCCTAATCCTTAAACATTATTATTCCCTTTCTCTCTGTTTCAATTTCTCTTGGCTTTTATCAAAATCACAGAAGAGTGCTGGACTGAGAAATACTTTAAAATAAAAAGAAAAAATATAGACAGAACTTTACAAATATACAAATCTTTGAAACAAATACAAATGTGATTAGGTATACGGTAGAGAGAGAAGAGAGTAAGAATAGAGGAGAAAAGGAAAGAGAAAAACGGGGTATAGGAAAGAAGAAAATCGAGATAAAAAAGAGAGTTATGAGAAGAGGGAGAGTAGGTATGCAACTGATGAAAGAAAGAAAGAAGGAAAGACGGAACAAAGAAGAAGAATGGCAGCGATAAGAAGAGTGTCCAGTAAGAATGGGGTTAGCGTCCAGTAGCATCAATTTTTTTTTAATTTGAAAATTGGTATTCCACATCCTGGTATTTAGCTGAGCTGAAACACGGAATTCTACTGGAGAGCTGAAAAGCAGAAATATCTTCGCTTTAAAACAAATCTCAGACCTCGATTGAATCAATTGTCAGATTTACAAAAATCAAAAGATAGTAATTATTATTTGTTATTTTATTGGTACTGCAACTTTTAATTCAACAGAAACAGAAAATAAAGTAAAAATATAGAAATATTTAATTTACAATTCTCTTACTTTGAATTTCACTCAGTCAGTTATGTGCCATGCGTGATACACGATTAGGCGATCATGTATCTTTCGATACATCACTGACGAGGCAGATGTTTTCCCGCAGTAGGTTGCCATTTCTTTCTACAGTATAACAGGTATACTATAAAACCCGGGGGTGGGAGAAGAAGAGTATTCATACCTTTCCTATTAGTACGTAAGTGAATATAATGGATTCGACTGGAATTCGAACTCGGCTCTCCGATTTCTCAATCCGAGCCACTGTCCATTACTCCACCGTGCCACCGATACCTTGAATTTACATTCAGGAAAATTGTTATTCAGTTTACTGATTATTTAAATAAGGGAAATAGAAAATCATTCTCACGTTGTCGCCTTTTCTCCATTACTAATGGGAAGAGGGTTAATTTCTTATACGTAATATTTCATTTTATTCAACTCTGGATTTAGATAGATAGATAGATAGATAGATAGAGCGAGTGAGTGTAAAAGAGACCCCACCCTCAGGGGAGGTTGTTTATATATGTCCCTCTTTTCCTTACGGGTGCACGCCCTAGACGCAGATGGGTTGATCACGTGTTTACATGTCGGTGACAATCACCGAATCTGATGAAGCACGGAACTCCACCCTTGGCTCGGAGGACACCTCTTAGGTCAACCCGCTGATACACCTTGCTTCTTTGATGATCTGTGACATTAAGTGCAAAGTCTATTCTCGCATCACCTGTGATGAATGACATATAAGTCTAAAGACGTCATAGATACGATGAGATGCTGAAAAGTTCTCGACCGAACCCACTTCCCCAAATTTAAACAAATAGGATTTTTAAGAGCATATATAGAATCAGTAAGCGTGTTATGTTTTTTGAATGTTGTTACGTCACAGTTGAAAAAAATACTTATTGAAAAAGAAAATCATTTTACGATATTGATAGAATTTGTTTTCTTATAACATCAAACTTTTTTTAAATATGATTTACTAAAGATTAATCCTTTGAGCCCTGACCACCGCCTTACTGGTGGTAGAGAAAAATGGCGTAATGCCCAGCCATCGGTTGAACGGTGGGTAAACACTTGTATCTATTTTTATATCCACCCTGAAACATTACATACCAATTATTTGCGAATTTTGACTCAGGATCTCAGGCAGAAGGGTTAAAAATTTTCAGGAATGCAGAGCTCAAAGTGTTAAAGTATAAAAATTAGTAAATGATTATTCTAAGCATTCATGTTTATTTTTTAACTATAGACAACTACTTTGTACAATATTGGCTTCAAGATTTCATGATTTAAAGACATTAAGCGAAGCCGGTTCTGTCTGATTTTATGGTTTGAGAATTTGAAAGTCTCTCTTTATGAAAACATCTAATGATCTTGTAGCATATTTATGTTAAATACTGTTTAACATATAATAAATAATGTAAGAGAGTAATTTTCTATAAGCAGCTTAGAGTTTAGTGATTGTATAAAACAAAGAAATTATGAAATCTTTTAAAATTATCTTCGCCACTTTAGCATAACGTTGATAATGCAAATAGTAACTCATTCTCTTTTAAGATGCCATTGAAAGAAAATTAATTCTGTATTGTAGTACCGGGCAAACACGGCAAATATTTAATTCATATTCTGAATTATAGACTTGACGAAGGCTGTAGAATGGGTCGACTGAAAAGAAAAGAAATTCAGTTATCCGAACAAATCTTGAAACGACTATTTCATTTCTAAATAAGGAAAAAATACATTTTTTTCTCTCGTCCGTTTATAAATATTAACTAATTTATTTGCTTAAACAATTTCTTAAATTCACTTTTGGCTTTTACAATCAATTCTTGACAGACGATCGTAAACGGAAGCTGCTTTATTAATGTCATAATCCCAATTTTGACAACATGATTATGCAAAGTGGATATCAAATCCAAGTTTTTTTTTAAAGCCCAAATGATACACACGTAGGTTGGTACGTATTTTTTGTGGTTGGCTGTACAAAGTGATTCTAAAGAATTCCTGGTCAGATCTACTCTCCAAAATCTAACCAAATATCAGAATTTAAAAAAAGTTCCTTTTTGTTTGAGTTGATAACTTTTCAGCGGGCTGTGTGTGTGTGTGTGTGTGTTAGCCTTGTAATTTTCCGTTGGCATGTGTCGTTGCCATTATCAGTGTTTAGTGTAAATTGACTGTCAGTATACTGAAAAAAATTCTTAGACACTCTGTATTCCGCTAAACAACTGAAATGAGACGATAGCCATAAGGTGTTAGATTGCTTATCAAAATGAATTTGAGTGTTTTTCTTGCCTCATTCCGATGACGTTGTGCTAACGTCACTACAGGAAATATCTCGATTAAAATCCCCCCGCTCTTCCCCCGTCCAGCTCTCAAGAAGGTCACTAAAATCTAAAGTCTTCGAATTTATCAGATTATCGACACAGTTCGATGAAGACAACGTGGCCTGTTTCGATTTCAAACCTGATGTCGATACAATACAGCCAGGTTGTTTCCAGAACGACTCCGGCAATTTCCTCCTGTTCATTGGTACAATGTCCTCATGTTTTTTGAGGTCCAACTTGAGACGCTTGAACTTCTTTGCCGAAGTCCGCGACTTGTTTACCGACAGGAAACCACGCAGTCCATACTCAAATAATTCATTCAGTGGGCCAAGACCTAACGCCTTGTTCAGCCTGCCGCTAAACTTATCTTTGTTATCGGCAGTGAATGCTGCCTGTTCTGACGATGTCGAAGGCGTGACTGTGTACGCCGAGCTCGAAACTTTATCCTTTGTGGATTTGCATTTGGTTTCGATGCTTTCTCCGTGAGCTATTCGCAGCAGATCTGCGTAATACAATTCACGGCCAGATTTACTAGAAATCCATTTGTCTTCATAAATATCGCATGAATCCTCTTCACCTGGTTTTTGCCCGAAAAACTTCTTTATGTCGGCGTTAATCATCTCAGCAAAATCCAAAAGTTGTTTGGTGACGTCCGGGGACTGCGACCGACGCGGCAAACTTGCGATTAACGACGGAAATTGTACTGTGTACTCGTCATCCTCTTCGAAGTCAGCCGAATAATGAGAGTCGTGATCGCTGAAGTCGTCTTCACCAACGAATGATCCCAGGCTCGGACCGATCATTCCCAGTCCGGAACCGATTGCAGTGATAGCCGAACACTGGTTAATATCTGGTGTGGTAACATTACTGAGATGAGGGTGATGATGATGATGAGGAGGAGAAGGATCGTAGAAGTGACCAATTCGGTTTGAAGCCGATGTATTTCTTATGGCGTTGAACGAATTTTCGTCGCATATATCAAAATCATCGTCATCGTCGTCGTCATCGTCATCAACATCTTCGTCATTTTCAGGTGTCGATACTTTGGCCAGTGCCTCGAACGATTTTTTAAAGATGGAAGTCGGGGTTGTTTTCATATTAAGCGTCGGTTGCAGTGATGGCAACACCACCCCGTGGATGTTGGTTACCATGTTGTTATCATGCATATTCGCTCCTACAGATGCAACGGCCGTCATGAGAAATACTTTGGAGTTTCCTTCTTGCAGCGTTTGAATATCTGTACTTGACGTTTCTTCAAGTAAAAAGAGGCCATCACTTGACAACCAACTATTTATCTTATCAAAGAGTCTCTCTTAACGTTGACAGGGTAAAAAATTTGGTAAAAAGTTTGCCTTTCGATTGGTGTTGCGGGTCACTTCAACTGTTTTTTTTTCTGATTCAAAGCAGCAGGAAAAAGCCTGTAACGAAAGAAAATACTTTTAAATTGATTCCTAAATTTATATACTAAATCATAAATAAATACAAAACAAAATTTTCACTCAGGTTTTGCATTAATTACCGTATTTTTTGTTTTACATAAAACGTATTTTTTCACATAAAATAAATCTTAGATGTTCATAAATTTGTAATAAATGTATATATAGAAATGTTTTGAATTGTTCCAAACAGGGAACACAAATGAAGTTTCAAAAACATTCGATATATTATCCACCAAGTTTCATTACTGAAAGGAATGAGATCTTATATGCTCGTCTCATTTATATACCATCAAATACGGTATAATTAAATTTTCCTATAGCCAAACAACAACCGACATACAATAATGATCGTTACACACTGCGATCTCAATTTTACAACAGGCGGGGTTGTCGCATTTTAGAATAACTTGAAATTTGAACTTTTGCTAATGCAAGTTTTCTTGCGAAACAGAAAACTATATTCTATAGTATAACAAGGAATTGGTGTGACTAAAAATACCAACTAGCTCTCTTCATTGCTTACGGCCATATCACATTGAAACATTTTTTTGTCGCACAATCACCAAAGACAAGCAATGCCGAGCGTGTTCAATATCTAGGTGGGTGACCACTTGGGAATACCAGGTGCTGTAAGCTTGAATGTTCGGGTGGAATATACTGCTCGGAATTGGAAATCGGAGAGCAGAGTTCCAATTCAAGTTGGGTTCGTCATATGCGCAAAAAATCCTTGTGAAAGGTATTAATCCACCTTTTCTCCTCCATCTATGGGTTAATTAGTAGGACTTGTATAAGTAAATCATTATTACCCGCAAAACATTCCTGAAATCTAAAAATATTTTCTGGCATTAAATAACCTGCAAAGTATTGGTCGGCAGTGAAAAAATAAAAAAAAAAACAAATCAATCAATCGACCTCTTCATTTAGCAAAAATACTTCTATCATATTATTCAAATCTCTTAGATGAAGCGCTTTCAATTATTTTTAATAGTTTTTACTTATTGTAGCAACAGAAATACGAGGGAAAGATACAAGTCGAGCAACAATAATAATAGCTTACCGATACCATAAAAAATGACGACATATTTTGTTAAATCCTTAATATTATAAGGTTTTCACATGTGACTCTTTACATATATTTTCCAGTTAGTACAGATTATAGTTTACCCACTTGCATGTTTATATAAACATGGTCATCAAATCCGTCACAATTTTTGTTTTTTGATCTTTTAAATTTCGCAGAATATTTATCTTCCTTGCATCCGACATATTTTAAAATTATTAAAAGTTTCGGACGAAAATATATAAATACAATTAAATATAAAACTGCAGATAAAGCCAGGCATGACAGAGTGAGATAATATCTGCATTGGAAAATCTGCAACTTATACGGAAAGGAAACTGCAAGAAACAGACTCGATTACGGAGAGAGGATCTGTAACAATTTTACAATACACACAGACAGAACAAACAAAGCTAATCGTCCAGACATCGTGATTAGAACCGCAAAGAAAAAAATGTGTCTCCTTATTGACATGGCTGTCCCCGCATATTGTAATATATCTTTGAAG